AAAAATAGTTTGGAGAATTGCCATAGTAATGGAGGGCCTAAAAGGTTTAAACTTTATACTAAACGCTTTAAAACAACCAATTTCATATAAGCACTTGGCTGTTTTTCTACTTAATCCTCTCTAGAAGTTACTCACAGCGCTGGCATCGTAAAAAATAACTTGATAGATATTATAAAACCCTTTTGAAGGGACTGGTTAGAAAATAACACCCTCTTTTAAACACTATTAACAGTGTGCCTGTATTTCAAAAATGACAGCGGTAACTTCCCTTTTTTCAATATGGAATTGCATTCAGCCTACCAATATTCATCTTTACACTAGATCTTAAGCAAAACCTTGGAGTATGTTCAATGCTTTCTCGACTGATTGATAATTTATGGTGACTTAGAACCTTCGTAGGCTTTTTAAACCTTGGAGGTACTTTTTAAACCTCAGAAAACCCTTCAGTGCTAATGGCAGTCAACAAATGAGCTCAACAATGATAGTAAAGAACTGGAACTGTAGGATTTATAACCAACTTGATTTAAAAAAAAAAACATGGCTGGTAAAACTATACATGACTGTACAGAAACTAGCAAATTGTTCAATTAGAAATGTAATTATGACGCATTTATCCCTAGTATTTAGTATATATTTAAGTTCTTCCTCGAATACTGCTGCTATAGCGTCAATGAGCTTATTACATTTGGATTTACGTCCTTAGCGAACTGACTGACAGCGAATTGTAAAATATATACAAGAATCGGATCAATATCAGTATCTGGGCAACTGCTCACCTACCCTCCCCTAACTCAAAACAGTCAATTGATAACAAGTTAGGGTTAATGTTGGGTTAGGGGAGGGGTAGGTAGGCAATTGCCCAGATACTGATATTGATCCTAAGAATCTATTCTCGGGCACATTGTGTCAGGTTGTCTCAGTTTTCTCATGTGAAAACGTGACCGTTTGCGGAACGAGTCTTCTTTGCAGTCCAAAACTACATGGTCACACACGAGTTCCGTTCTTCAATTTACAGAATTGTGTGACACACATCACGCAACTGATCCTTAACTAGGCGAACGAGAAGAATTGCATATTTCGCTAATCGCAATTAATTTCCCAGCAGTTTGTCTAACTCCTTTCTGAACTTGAGAACATGAAACATGTTTTTAAGCTGAAGTGTGTGCTCGAGACACTTGTAAAAATAATCTGGGCATTCTCCTCGGAGCTCTTGAAGTTCAATCAATGTTTGTCCTGTGAATTCAGCCATGTCTTTGTCACACACCTGTGCCAATCCAATTTTCTTCAGCCATCTCTTCACGTCCTCATTTGTCCATCCGGCTACATCTGGACCAGAGGGCTGTTTTGTTAGAGTCGTAGCCTCAGTTGTTCGAATCACCGCCTCTGGGGGGCCGTCTGTGTGATCCACATCTTTTCCTCTTCCCGCTAATTCTTTGACCAGTTTTGTCACCCCAGAATCGATGGTATGCTTACTCTGAAAGTCAATCCACATTTTCGTTCCCAACAGCATTCCTAGCCAGCCATCTGCTTTGTAATTTTTCTGCATCATCAAAGGAATGATGTCTTTTCTTAGCTGATAGGCATACTCGGCCTCTGAACGACAGTTGGGACTTTCTTTGTATCTTTGTGATACGCAGATCAGTACAACAGCTGCATTCTCCACAGCTTTGGCCATTGTCTCTAATGTGGACCCACCCATTTGCTCCAGATCCATCCACACTCTGTATCCATTTGCCTGAAGTTGATTTTTGACTTGAACCAAGACTTCCTGAGCATCCCATTGGTAGCTAATCATCACGTGGTTTCCAGACCCCTCTTTCATCTTTTCGGCTTTATCTCTTGCTGTCTTTCCTTCAATCTCCCACAATGCTCCAGCGGCTACCTTTTGCACTTCAGCGTTTTGACTGTGGTGTAATTTGTGTAAGATGTCCACGGTTCCATTTCCCTCTCGAATGATATCCTTGTTAGAGTCGTCGAAAGCCAGCATCCATAATGCCTTTGCGGCACTCGCTTGTTCCTCGTCGTCGCTCGAGGTCTCGAGTGTTGACGTTAAGACTCTTATTGCCCCTTCGCTTCCAAGAATTTTCTTATTGTTGTCGTTAATTGCCAAATGACTGAGTCCTTCTGCAAGTTCCTTAGCGGAGAATCCGTTGCTTCGACGGTCTTCTCCTTCCCAAGCTTCGTCTAACATTGTTGTAATGAAGCGAAGCAAGTCTTTGTCGGCGGAGATTAAATGATTAGTTTCTTCATTAACAAGGTACGCCAGGCACAACAAGGCCGAGACAGCGATACTAGTCACTTGAACCTTTGCAAAATAGAGTAAAGTCTCGTCACTGTTAGCAAACCATTGGCGATCTCTTAGCCGTCGAGAAATGTTGTACAAAATCCCGGTGAACCCTTCTAGTATTTGTATTATTTCATATTCTTCATCTTCGCTTTGCCAGTCGTCATTTTCTTGATCGATCCTCTCTATATTCTCCATGCAAGTGAGTACAACTCCATCTTGAGCGCTCGCCAAGCAAAAACCATCATGGAAATCAGCAAAGTTGTGTATTGTTGACATTGCGAGATAAAGGCAAGTAAAAGTCTCCTCTTGGTCACTTGTCTCCGATTCGTCGTCTGTTCCATCAGTATAGTAATCTTTGAAACAGTTTTTCATGAAGTTATGCAGCACTGTTGCTCCTTCGACTTCAATTATAAACTCCATAAATGTATTGTATTTTTCGACGTCGTTCGTCCCTGCCGACGGTGTGCTGCAACTTTTTTTAAACAACTCTTTGAGTACTTTTATCAGCTTAGAATATTGAATTATATGTCCCTTGGATTTGTCGTCTACGGCTTTTCTTAAACCTTGTAGAGGAGTTAACATCATTTGAAGGTCATCTTGTAGCTCTGGGAAGCTGTGCGTGTATTTAAGTAAGACTTCCCACTCATCCAGTGAAATCCTCTCACTTCGTTCTTCGTTCTTGTGCTCCTTGTTTACACTTGACGTATGGCCGTGATCCTGTCCGGGCCGGTCTTGAACAACTTTGGGCTTCAAATCAGATGTCGGCGGTCTGTCCACAGCCATGTCTATTTGAGGTTGTCGAGGTACTACATTAAGATTTCTTGAATTCTTTGATACACCAGAACCCATAATAATGGGATTGTTAGACAACCTAGTCGCCAAGAGCACGATGCAGCACGTAAATTTACAGTTTCTCAGTTGCTATGCTGTGAATCATACTGCGTTTGTCATCGGGGAGAAATTTTCGTGTTGAATGTCCTTGCTTAGTGGCCAGTTACTTATGAAATGTAGACGAAATTGTACTTAAATGATGTCGACAATGAGTTTTTCCGTCGGTCAGAGTTAGACATAGTTACCGCCGCTCCCTCGAGTTGGATATATGTTTTTCCTGAAAGCAATCACGCTATGACGTCATCGATCATCTGTCTTTCTCTTTTATAATACAATAACATCGTTTCGTTGCAAACATCAGTTGTCCTTGAAGCTCATTCAAGCAAATCAAAGGTTTGAAATCCTATTTCGTTAGTCTGAAGAGCTTTTCTAAGGGAATATTGCTCTTGAGCTGTGCCCATGCTCCAAAGATTTCGTGACTCGTACATTACTGCATTATGGTAATCGTAGTTAACTGTATTGTTTTGAACAAAACCCACCTTGCTGTTTTCTGTTTAGAAATGCTTGGCTACCCTCTTGCGAACGAAAATGCTAACTTTTTGGATTTGCATTGAATTTCAGTTACCGACCTCTGTCTGTTCAAAGGGAAAAAAAATTTGTTAAATAAATGACAACATGGTGTGACACGAGTCATGCTAATTATTTTCGGACTTGTCAAGTTAATTAGTAGTAGCCTATCCATGTAATACAGGGTTTACGCCTCCTTTAGCTATCAAATAACACATTTGTCGGAGTCTAAGGTAGGAGTTAGGTGTTAGGAGTCATTTCTGTAAACACAATTTCGAATCATTCTTGGAGCTGGAGTTGGACAGTGTAAGTTCATATTTCTTTCGATCTTCTGTTGATTTTCAGCTATCCTGATTATATTCCTGTTATTGTAATCAGAGTTTTCCACCGTGTGTTAGGAAAGCAAGTTTATCAATATATCAAATGTGATAATCATGGCACTCACTCCTGAGATGTGACCGAGGCAGTAACTTCGTCGGTGCAAAGTTTGAGATCGATGAAGCCCTCGCAGAGATGGATAGCGAGTCGGTTGCGAACTACTTATCGGAACAGAATTGTGAGTGGATCTTCAACCCGCCCCACGCGTCTCACTACGGCGGCGTATGGGAACGTTAGATTGGTACCATCCGACGCATCCTAGACGCCATGCTCTTGGAGTTAGGGGCGCGACAGCTGACCCACGAGTTGTTGGTTACCCTGATGTCAGAAGTCGCGGCGATAATCAACGCCCGCCCGATCACGGCGATACCATCCGATATTGACGAACCTTTACCGTTGACACCAGCGATGCTGCTTACGCAAAAGACACGTCCCGGGACCTCCACGACACAGGATGTCTATGCTTGACAGAGATGGAGAAAGTTGCAATTCTTAGCCGGTCAGGTGCGGACGAAGTGGAATAAAGAACAGCGAAATCTAGCAGTTGGAGACATCGTCCTGATGAAAGACGAGGAAGCCCACAGAAACAAAGCGACACATGGAACATTCTTTTGAAAGAATTGCGAGGCTAGAGTTGCAGAAAACTTTCAAGTTTTATCATATTTTTGAAAGAATACTAAAAAAAACGAATATATGAAAAGAAGGCATTTGGATTTTACTTCACAGCTTAAGAAAAAAAAAATTGCAAGCAAAATAATGCGTGGACTATTGTTGTGATAACATCGTGCGTGAATTTTTTCTTTGGAGCACGTGCATTTGTTGTAATGCAAAAAAAATACCACAACCTCGTAGGAATAGTAAAAATAACTCTAATGGGGCGTACCGGAATTTGTATGTACAGGTCATGTTTGTTTTTTAAAAAAACTGTCGATATCCTAATAAGGGTAAGGAGAGAAAACCAGTAAGACTACTTTGAAGAACTGAGTGAAATTCATTGCTAGTGTAATTGCTGTTGTTAGCGAGATGCGAGATGCGAGATGCGAGATGCGAGATGCGAGAGAATATGAATAATGATAAGGTTCGCTTGTACTAGTTTATCAGTACGTTAAATTGAAGCTAACATCAAGATTGTTTACGTATCCCTCTAGTGGTTTGCTAACTCGTATCTCCTTTTCATTGGCAGATTACTGAATGGCTGGTACTGGAAGTAAAAATCAAGTACTGACACAAGAGCAATGTGTCTTTCATACGTAGCATACAAACTTTTTAATCCAGTGCGAAATTTGAGTAAATCGAAGAGAGTCAAGGCTGAATTCGTTTCGTTTCGTTTTATTTCATTTCCAAAAGCCTTTATCTTAAACTGTACCATTTGCCAAACAAGTCGAATTTATCATTTGAAGATTATGCTTTACAACTTGGAGCACGTTATGTTTTCATGTTTACCGTTATATCTTCGATTTTTTTTATCGCTGCTTTTTCTTTAGTAACTGTTTAATTTTTTTTTTTTGCCGCCAAAAACTTAAAATAAAAATAAGAGCGCTTAAAATACGCATGCGGCCCTTTTTTTCGCTTATGGAAACTCTTTAAGTGACAGCTGTTCAAAATAGCGTAATTTTCCCGCCAAAAAACTTAGAAAAAATACAGGCGCCCAAAATACGCATTCCAATATTACATTCATTGAAAACCTTTTCGATAAGTTATACAGACAAAAATCACAGGAAAAATGTTATTCTAAATTTTTTTCTGGAAGAAAAAGGAAGTTTATAAGGCATCAAACATCTTCTAGCTAATAGCCCCCAAGATATTTCTCAAGGAAATATATATTTTTTTCTAGCAATATAAAATTTTTCAATTAACGCATCTATTTGTGGGCTCTGTAAACAATTTACATTTTCAAGACAAGCTGAATTTCTCAAAAGTTTAAATTACTTCCAAACTGAATTCATGAATAACTTCTCATTTGCTTGAAATGTTTACAAGACAAACCAAACTGAACAAAGCTCCCACTTCTTTCTTTCACTTGGGTTGGACGGACAATTGTTTTCTTAACTGCTGTAATTACTGAGTGAACTATGATTTGAATAAATTCATTCTGATAGATTTCGAAGCTACCACCGTAATTGAGCTAGGTGTTAAATTGGCAGTAAGCGATAGGCCTTTTATCTACAAAATACCTTTGACTTTTTCGATGCATACATGACAGATTTTGTGGTCTGTATAACTTGCTTTAAGATCAAAATCATTTCAGGAAAACCATCATAGAATCATCTGAACCAGACAATCAAATAATTATGAGAAGGAATACCATCGATTAAAACAAAAAATCTGACTAAATTTTTAGTATTGTTTAAAAAAAATTATTTCTTTCTGCGGATTTGTTTCACGTCAAAATAATCTTTGTATCTTGTTAAAAATCAAAATTATTCAATAAAGAAACTCTGTGGAGATTGAGCGAGGGTAAAAGGCATTTATTATGAATGAAAGACAAAAATTCAGTAAGAAAAACTGAGAGACAAACTTAAAAAAATAACCAAATCAAAGAGAAATATATTGAAAGTTCATTGCGCTGGGATTTGAGCGCACCCCTGTCGTGGCACCATACTCCATCCACTGAGATATTAGAAACCTTGAATTTAATAAAACTTTGTTCACTGTACAACAACCGATCTATCCATTGCCAGGATACACCTCCACAAAAGTTTATAGGTAAAAGTTTGTCAACCTAAATATGACATCATTATAAAAATCAACCCGTTTGAACACAATGTTAAGTTAAACTGTGGGTGATTAATTTCCTCATTTCAGGGTTTGAGAAAAAAGGAAAATTTCCATGAACTGGATAACGCATCCAATGATTTACAAAAAGGGAAACTTAGTAGTTTACAAGTACACCAGAGAATATTCATGAGCGAGGTATAGAATCAAAAAAACAAATATATATCTCCCCCCAAAAATAGAACCATTAAAATCACAAGAAAGAAAAGGAATTAATGACAAGTTCAGTCAGGATTTGAACCTTGACTGGGCCTACTTTGGGGTACAATTTTTTACCCACTCAGCTGTGGGAGCTTATTTTATGTATAACAAGAGACCAACTTTAAACACTAGAGTCTAAAATCAGACATTACTGTCCAAAATCAACTGTACAAACAATAGTCTCTAAAATCAGACACTAGTGTCTAAAATAGACTATTCACTATTCACACTAGTGTCCAAAATCCCAAATCAGCCAGTAACATTAAAAATCCAAAATCTGCTATTAGAGCCCAAAGCGCAAATTGGCTACTAGTGTCCAAAATTTAAAATCAGTAACCAGTGTCCAAAATCCAAAATCGGCCACTAGTGTGCAAAATCAACCACTAGAGTCCAAAATTCAAAATTGGCCACTAGAGACTAAAATCCCCAAATCAAACACAAGGGTCCATTATCCAAAATTGACCACTAATGTCCAAATTCCCAAATTGGACACTAGTATTCAAAATTCCAGATCGGCCACCAGTGTCCAAATTCCCATTGGACACTGATGTCCAAAATCCAAAAATGGACTCTGTTGTCCCAAAATAAAAATCAGACTCCAAAATCCAAAGTATGGCATTGGTGTCCAAATTCCAACACCAGTGTCTAACATTATACAGTAGTGACTGAGATAGAATGTTCAGGCAATAGTGTTGAAGACTGAACTCTATGGTCCAAAATCAAACCCTAGTTTCTAAAATCAGAAACTAGTGTCCAAGATTGACTGTTTAGACAATAGTCTCTAAGATCTGCCACTAGAGTTTAAAATTGGGCATAATTTCTTGACTCAACTGTTCAAACACTAGTGTCTACATCAGACATTAGTGTCTAAATTTGGGGGTTAAGTGTCTAAAATCTGACTCTGGTGTTTTAAAGCAACTGTTCAGATACTAGCAGAATAAAATCAAACACTAACATCTATAATCAGACACTACCGGTAGTGTCTAAAATTAGACACCAGTGTATAAAATTAGAAACTAAGAAGTTGTGCCAAGCAACAACTTGCATATTTACTTGCTCTCTTGTTTTTATTAGCATTTAGGTTCAAATTGCTGCAAAGAAGATTGTTGCACTTGGAGATTATATTTCTGAACGGGGACAGACACATAAATTTTTCAGAATTGTCAAGCTGTTTTTTTTCCCCCAGGTATAGGAATGTAGGCTAAAAAACATTGCAGGATATTATGCTAAGCACTCCCTAACACACCCTATTCACAAACTGTGAATAAACAAAGAACAGGGAAATCTACGCTGTTTAGTTAGACCAAAATGTTTGGAATGCTACAGCAAGTTTACATGGTTAGGTCCAAACAACCTACCAAAACATTTCACAGCAGAATC